TCCTGCAGCTCCTCCTTGGCAGGTGGGAAATCTGATTTCCTGCAGGAGGAAAATTCATCCTGGTGTTTTTCTTTGCAAAGTCCTGGGATCTGTTGGCAGCTCCTCTTTAGTGACACAGCCAGGCTGGCACAGATGGCATCTCTGGTGTGGCAGGACAATCCCCCTCCCCCTGCTGCTGCCACTGCCAGGGGACAGCAGTGACACACACACATTGTCCCTGCCTGAGGCCACCCAGCCCGGCCCTGCTGTGCCCCAGAAGTGGCACAGGGGTCACTCTTGGGGTCACTTTGTCCCCAGCCCTGGCACAAGGGTCACTCTGTCCCCATTTCTGGCAGGATGAGGCGACTCTTGGGGTCACTCCGTGCCCATCCCTGGCACAGGGGTCACTTTGTGCCCATCCCTGGCTGGATGGGGTCACTCTTGTCCCCAGCAGTGGCACAGGGGTCACTCTGTGCCCAGCCCTGGCAGGTTGGGGTCACTTTGTCCCCATCCCTGGCAGGTTGGGGTCACTCTGTGCCCACCCCTGGCAGGATGGGGTCACTCTGTGCTCATTCCTGGCACAGGGTCACTCTGTGCCCACCCCTGGCAGGTTGGGGTCACTCTGTGCCCACCCCTGGCTGGATGGGGTCATTCTTGTCCCCAGCAGTGGCACAGGGGTCACTCTGTGCCCATCCCTGGCACAGGGGTCACTCTGTCCCCAGCCCTGGCTGGATGGGGTCATTCTTGTCCCCAGCAGTGGCACAGGGGTCACTCTGTCCCCAGCCCTGGCAGGATCAGTGCCAGCTCAGCTGGGAGGGGAGGCTGGACCTGTTCTCCCACTGCTGGGATGCTCCAGCACGAGGCCACCCTGTCCCTGTCCCTGTCCCATCAGGCAGGTCCCACCCCGTGCTTGGGGACACTGCAGCAGCACCAGATTTATTTCCCCAAGCTCAGATTCCATCCCAAGCCCTCTGCTCTCTGCCAGTGTCACACCCCCAGCCCTGTCCCCACACCATAAACCCAAAAATTCTCATTTTTCTCCCCAAATCAGCCAGCTTGGCCGAGGACAGGAGGGGCAGCTCAGTGATGGAAACAGATTCAAGCAGTTCCTCCATCTGGTTCAGGGAAGTATTTCCTCAGAGAGAAATGGGGGTAAAAAAAAAAACAAAACTGTTTATTTTATATATGTTAAAAAAACCCAAAACTGTTTATTTTCTATATGTTAAAAACAGTGAGTTTCCCAAAAATCTCTGGATGCAATGCTGCCAGATTTGGATCCCACATCTGGAGCAGCACAGGGCAGGAACCACGAGCATCAAACCAAGCAAAAATTCCAATTTCTCCCCCAGATTCCTGGGAAAACAACAAGCAACAGCACGAGGCTCCATCCCTCCCCACAGCTGGGCACAGCTGGAATTCTCTCAGCCCTGCACCCCCCACGCTGAGCAATTAACAGAGCTCATTAATTCTGACCAGGTACGTGACAAATGGACACAGACAAAAAGATTTCGTGCAGAGCCACCTTGGTTTTTTTTGGTTTTTGTTTTTGTTTTTTTTTTTTTTTTTTTGACTGCCACTAGAAAAATACTCTGATTACAAAAATAATTTGCAGGCAAGCAAAGGATGAGCAGCAGGTTTCTCTGTCAGGCTGATTTTTGAAGCTCTGCCGAAGAGATTTGTTAAACAAAGTTGGATTTTTTTTTTATTTTTTAATCTATAGCAAAAGTGGGTCTATAATTTCATACAGAAATGACAAATATGCAACAGAAGAAGACAAGTGGTTCATAAATTCTGCAAATTTCCTCCCAGAAATGCAGGGTTATTGCAGATCACAGAAGGACACTTGCAGCCAGCTGAAGTCAGGATTATTTCTGAACCCTTCAAAATTTGCTGTTAATATATAAAGTTTATATATCTACACACACACACACAGAGAAAGACTTCTTTATTATGTGTATATATAAAATATATACTGGATGGAAAGGCCCTCCAATTATAAATGCATAACCACAAGCTGGAGATAATTTGGCATTTTTCCTGTTTAAAAATGAATTTTTTTTTTTATAAAAATGACTCCCTGCACAGAACCCAGCTGGGATTGGGAGTGAGGGCAGCATTCCTCCAGCTCTGCCAGGACCCTTTCCAGCCTCCCATTTTTTTTCCCCTCCATTTCCTCAAGGCTGTGTTTTATACCAACACAGGTTTTATATTTGAGAAGAAAATGCAAAAAAAAAATCTGCTTTTTCAACTCTTGGAAAGCATTCTATGATTCCCAAATCCATCTTTTAAAAGCCCTGGGAAGAGAGGCCAGAGGGAGGAAAGCTGAGGCACAATTAATTCCCTGGAACTCCCCAGCAGATGCTACAATCATTTTGCAAGGTAGTTTTTGCTAGAAAATGCACTTGAAGCGTGCCTGTGCACAAAAAGGTGCTGCCAGCACAGGCACAAACCTCCCCCCCAACAACCTCTCCAAAAAAAAAAAAAAAAAAAAAATTAAAAAAAAAAAAAAAAAAATGTAAACCCAGTGATTCCATCAGGTCTCTGCAAAACTCAGGCAACTTTGGTCGTGTTGGGAATTGGCAGAGACCCTGGAGCCAGGAAAAACAGGGATTTAATCAGAAAAAAAAAATTAAAAAAAAAATCGGAATAAAGGCAGGGAAGAGCAGGAATGCCTGGGAATGGTGGGGGGGGGCAGGTACCTGGGGGGATTGGTGGTGCTTGGCCCTGACCTGGCAGGGGCTGGGCAGGAGGGGATGACCCCAATCCTATAATAAAATGCAGGTTTTCTTGTCCTTGAAAGGGTTTTCAGAAGCTGGAATTCCCATGAGCAAAGGGTCCTTCTTGGCGTGCTCCTCACAGTACAGCATCAGGTCTGCTGAGGCTTTGGACACCTGAAGGGAAAAAAATCAGCAAAAAAATGAGATTTTTCTATGGGAAATTATGGGGTTTTTTCATTGAAAATAATGTTTTTTTTTCATGGGAAATGGTTTTTTTTTTCGTGGGAAATAATGGGGTTTTCATGGAAAATAATGGCTTTTTTTTTATGGGAAATGGGGTTTTTCCATTGAAAATAATGGGGTTTTTTAATGGGAAATGATGTGGTTTTCCATGGAAAATGATAAGGTTTTCTATGGAAAGTGATGGGGTTTTTCCATGGAAAATTGTAGGGTTTTCCATTGAAAATAATGGGGTTTTCCATGGAAAATGATGGGTTTTCCATGGAAAATGATGGGTTTTTCATGGAAAATAGGGTTTTCCATGGAAAATGGGAAAAGCTGTGTGTTTTGAAGCCTCATTTTATTTATTTATTTATGTTACAAAGCATTATTTTATTTTTTTGCCACGTATTTTATTACATGACAACTAATCAGGACCTTTACTATTCCTTACAGCTTGTCATAACTACTGCCATTATTATATTTATGTTATTATTTTTAAATTACAAAAGGTCAGTATGTTAGAGTTTGAGCTAGAAGTTGTTTTTTTTGCAGTGGAAAATTCTCAGATTGTTTTATTTACTTCCAACATTGGCTTTCTTGTTTTCCTGTGAAAATCCTTTTGTTTGGTAAAAACATTTTTTGTTTGAGGTGAATTTTTTTTTTGTTGTTTTTTTGCTTTAAGTCATAAAACCCCCTCCCAACTTGTTTTTTGTTACTCAGTAAGACTGGCTCAGTAATTCTTTTTTTTTTTTTTTTTCTATATCAAAATTTGCTTTCATTTCTATAGAACCTTCTGCATATCTATAAAACTTTTCTATTAAAACTTTCCTAAAAAGGAGGGGTTTATAATTCCAGAGGAGTTTTTCTCTCTCCTGGAGTGACAGAATTAGGGGAAACAGCTTCCTACTGCCACAGGGAAGGGCTGGGTGGGATATTGGACCACAAAAAGTGAATTTATTTGGATTTATTGAGCTTTGAAAGGGGAAAAATCTGAGCTGTGAGTGCACAAAACCACAAAAAACTCACACACACACACTCTGTTATCTCACTGCCCTACGGCTGGGAGGGGAAAAATAAAAATTAGGAGGGGGATGAGGTTGGGATGTCACCTTTATCCTCTCGATGGAGGCTTCTATCCTGAGCTGCTGCACGGTCCTGCGGGCCTGGGTGATGTTGTTGGTCGTGGTGGATGTTTTACCTGACATTTTCAGTGGAGCAGGGAAGTTCTGCTTGGAAACACAACAAGGGAGTTGTTATTTCAAGAGGAATATTTACACAGAGGTATCAGCTGCACGCTGCAAAAAAAAAAAAAAAAAAAAAAAAAAAAGTTGATTTTTTACGAATTGTTGTTGTTGCTGTAATTCAATTCTGCAAGTTAAACGTGCTCCAAAGAAAAGCAGGGAGATGCTGTGCAGGATTCTGAGCTTTGGTCACTGGATTTCCCCCCCAATCTGAGGGATCCCAGGGGGTGCTGGAAAGGCACAAATTCCCTCTGAGCTGCACCAAGGAATGGGACAAATTCCTGAGCCCACCAGGGAGTGAGAGCAAGGAGTGAGCCAGGATGGAACCCCAGGATATTGAAGCTGGAAAAATTCAGTGACACCATCAAGCCCAACCATTCCCCAGCCCTGCTCCAAGTGTGTCCCCAAGTGTCACATCCACAGGGATTTTCAAATCCTTCCCAGGGCTGGAAAAACTTTCTGGGCAGAACCAACATTCGTGGCACAGGCTGATCCCTGGCTGGTTCTGTACCTGGGACAGTGGGACGTGTCCCTGCCATGGCAGGGGGGGGTGGCACCGGGTGGATTTTCAGTTCTCTCCCAACCAAAGCAGGCTGGGATTGCAAATTCCTCGTGTTTAGGGCAGCCCTGCCCGTGTCCCTGTGCTGGATCCCAGCTCCTGGAGGGTGAGTGCAGCTGCCTTTGGATCCCTCCTGGCTCTGCAGTGACCCAAGGCAGCTCTGGGACCTTTCTGGCCAGCAGGATTCACGTTTCTCTCACCCAGCCTGGCAGCAGAGCTGTTTCCCAGCTGCTCTGCCTGTGCCAGCCCAGCAAGCTGGGAGCAGCATTTTCCTGCTTTTGAAGGGAACATTCCTTGGAAAAGCTTTGAGCAGAACAATTCCCAAGCAGCACGAAATGCCTGTCCTGGAACAGGAGGAGGGACATTCATTAAAAATTATTTTGTGCAGTAAACACCAAGAGCATCCTCCTGCAGATCCGTGGATGCTCCAAGCCTTGTCCAGCCTGGCCTTGGACAATCCCAGGGATTCAGGGGCAGCCAGAACTGCTCTGGGAATTCTATTCCAGCCCCTCATCACCTTCCCAGGCAGGAATTCCTTCCCAAGATCCAACCCAAACCTCCCCTTTTCCCAGTGGGAATCCATTCCCTGTGTCCTGTCCCTCCATCCCTTGTCCCCCAGTCCCTCTCCAGAGCTCTCCTGGAGCCCCTTTAGATGAAAAATGAATCTTCCAAGCAGGAAAAATGAATCTTCCAAGCAGGAAAAATGAATATTTCAAGCAGGAAAAATCAATATTCCAAGCAGGAAAAATGAATATTTCAAGCAGGAAATTCCAACAGGCACAACCAGAGCTGCTGGGTTCAGCAGGGATTCATGTGCTCCAACCTCCAAAGCCATCATTTCTGGGATATCAAGGAACTGTTTCACATGGACACCAAAGCACAGATCCACCACAAATGGAGCCCAAATTCCCAGCCCCAGTCCCTGCACTTTTCCCTTACAACATTCAAAAATTGCAGTGTGTAAAAACCCAACACAAAGCAATTTATTTCTATGCAGTCATGAATGCAGCTCTGAGAGGACAGTTTAGGAGTTGTTGATTCCTGTAATTTTAGCTTTTTTTTTAAAAAAAAAAGGTGTAAAAAGTTGCAAAATTAAAAGATAAACCATTATCTTCTAATTTAACTGGGGAAAGGCCAAGCTCAGCCTTCCCTCCCCCAGCCCCAAACCCCTTTTTGCCACTGGAGCTGTTTGATTCCCTGGATCCCTTCCCACCCTCCATGGATTGACCTCCTTAGGAAAGTTCCAGTTCTTATTTTCCCAGCTGCTTAGCTTTGTTAATAAATGAGATGTTTGGAAAAACAAAACAAAACAAAACAAAACAACCAAACCAAAAAAAAAACCAAAAAACAAAAAACAAACCAACAAAACAACCCAAACCATAAGATTTGAAAATTAAATTGCTGCGTTTGCCCATCTCCAAACAAACATGAGCTTTAATAGATTTTAAGATTACTAAATCTCTTCTACAGGGAGATTTACAGCAACTAGGTCAGCTCCCAATAAATCTGTTTTCCTTCCCAGTTTCTGGCAACAGATCTGAGCTGCTACAGCCATGGGATTTCTCACAGGGTACCCTGGACTTCACAAAAACTCCCCAGATTTCAACTGGAAGTGTCAGAATTCTGCAGAACTCGGGGGTTCAGAACCCTGGGTAGTTTTTCTGGGGGTAGGAAGATCTCCCAGAAGTTGCTCCCTGAAGAAATGACCCCTCAGCTCTGATTTCTAGGAAATGATCCCTCCAATAATTCCCTCCTCGTGTTCAGCAGGAGCCAAAAGGAGCTCTGAGATCTTCCCTCATCCCAAAATTTCCTTTTGGGATCTCTGCTGTCCCAGCACTCACAGTCACAACTCTTCCTTCGCTGCTAAATGCACCAAAAAAAAAAAAAAAAAAAATTTCAAGGAGTTTTTCCATTCACCACCTAAAACAAAACGTGGCCAGGCTGGACAGGGCTTGGAGTCACTTGGGACAGCAGGAAGTGTCCCTGCCATGGCAGGGCTGGCACTGGATGGGATTTCAGGTCCTTCCCAGCCCAAACCATTTTGGGATTTTCTGGTGCAATCCCAAGCAGGAGGGGGTTCCCTGTAGGAACACTTGGGGACAGCCTTGGTGACAAAGCTGAGCAGGGACTCAGGGTTTGCTTGGTGGTGACAGAGATTCCCAAACCCCAGAGCAGCTGCAGGCAGGGCTGTGACCTTCCCTTGGCTCTGACTCACAGCCTAAAACGAGACAAAAGGATCAGACCCAGAACAGCCTCCCCTCCCCTGCCATGGCAGGGACACCTCCCACTGTCCCCAGGCTGCTCTGGGACACTTCCACACATCCAGGGGCAGCCACAGAAAATTTGCACCTCAGCATTCTCCCAGAGAAGAATTTCTTTCTCATTTACCCACTGAAAACAGAGGAGGATTCCCACCAGCAGCACTTTGCCAGGGAAAAGCAAAAAAACATGGAAAACTTCCAGTGCACTTCCATCAGCCACACACCTGCATTTTTTTTTTTTTTTCTGTCTTGAAACACCTGCAAACAGGTGGAACTGCCCCTGTTCCACAGAAAAACTCTATTTTTCCTTGAAAAAAAAAAAAATAGGAAAACAGGCCTTGCCCTATTTGTTTCCTCAGGCTTTAGGTAAGGAGGTTGCCATGCAGCAGATCCCAGATCCGCCTGGGCTGGCTGCCAAACTCCAGCTCCAGTGGGATAATTAAACTCTGGACTGTCTTATATTTACTCTTTTAGGTCCAGGACTTGTGAAGCACCTGCTGAGTGAAAGGGAATTCAATCAGCACTGCTCAAGCAGGGCTGGGAATCTGCTGGAAATCCCAGCAGCTCTGCCTGGACAACAGCTCCCAGTTTGTTCCAGTTATGCAAAGCCAGCTCGTACTGGAGCACCAAAGCCTGGCTGGCAGCAGCAGAAAGGCTCAAAGGTATCCTGGAACTGTTTATTTGGAAAAATAAAGCAGATTTTGAGGTGAATAACTCAAAACTTGGGTCAGCAGAGCGGGTTTGGCAAAACACAAAGCAACAACATTTTAACAGTGTAAAACCCATCAGATCCTGATTTTGCAACCCCCGCCTTTCCAAAACCCGGTTTTTTTCAGCCCCTGCTTTTCCAGGGCTGGCTGCAGGGATCTAAAGTTACAGCTGATCTGCAAATTCAGCTTTCATTTGCTCTCCCTTTCCAGAGCCCTGCAGTGGAGGACACGGAGCAGAGAGGTGGAAAAGCCTCTGTGCCAAACTTGCCAAGGGAACAGCAGGAAAAGGCCACAGGGTGTTCCCAACATTCCCAGAGATCCTGTTCCCCCTTTTTTTAGGTGTCCTGCACACCCTGCAGTGCTGTGGGATGGGAGGGAGCACCCCAGGGAATCAGTGCTGGAACAGCTCCAGCCTGGAAATGTTTGGATGCTGCTGCCCCATAAACCAGAAATAATCACCACCACGGGAATGATCCCACTTTGCTGAAAAACACAGGAATAGGGGGGGGAAAAAGAGAAATAAGAGCTGGGCAAGTTCAGAGCTGCTGGCTCCCAGCTCATTGCCAGCCCTGAGTTCAAGGTTTCAGTGATTCCACCACCAAGTGCTGCAGGTTTCCAAAGGACACCATTCCCAGTCCTGCAAATTCCCTGGGAGAATTTGAAGCTGGATCTGGTTTGTCACCACCACTGACACAGGCTCTGATTGCTGCTTCACAGCCCTGCCTCCAAAACCATCCCACTCCCTCCTCCCTGGCATCCTTTCATCCCACTGCCCTGCAAACAATTTGGGAATAACACCAGCAAACCCCAAACTCCAAACCCAGCTGCCTCCTCTTAGAGACTCACACTCCCCAGAGCTCACAGGAATAAAAAAATAATAAAATTTTGCTTCTAAAAACGCAGGGATTTGTCTGGCAGGAAGGTGATGGGAGGAGGAAAAGGAAGAGGGGATGCATGGAGTGACACCAAGCTGAGGTAAATCCTTATGGAGAGCAGGGAAAAAGAGCCCCAGGAGGGGTGGCACAAGCAGGGGGTGATGCCATGAGCCACATGCCCCGTTCCCAGGGGCAGGGCTGGGTGTGGGGTGAGGTTTCCATGGATCTGAGGGATCTGCACGTGCTGCTTTCCCAGCAGCTCTGTGGGCTGCTGGCTGGTTGGGACACGAATGCTGGAGGTTGCTTTTCCTACAGGGCACCCTTGGGAGCAGCTTTGTCATGACTTGCAGAACCTGAAAATGCTCCCAGTCCAAGCCAGGAGGCCACTGCTGGCATCAAAGGTGGGGGCAGGAATTAACAGCTCAATTCTGAGCAATGTACAAACCCCACACAAGCATCACCAAGTCTCTGCAATTCTGATATTCCCTGGTTTGGATTTTTTATTTTCTTCCTTCCAAAGGAAGAATCTGTTGGAGGAATCTCAGTGTGCTTGGCTCTATTTTCAGCCAAAGTGCTGCAGAGGATTTGGGGGCTCAGGGAGAGCTGATGAGACCCTGAGAGGGAGAGGGGAAAAGAAGAAAGGAAAGGAAAGGAAAGGAAAAAGGAAAAAGGAAAAAGGAAAAAGGAAAAAGGAAAAAGGACATCCAAGGGATGCCTCTGCCCACCTGAAACCCCAATGGCCTTTGGGGGCTGCTTCTCCCCCCGGGGCTGAAGGAGGTTCAAGGATTTTTGGAAAGGACTTGGGAAGCCTGGATGCTTATTCAGAGTGGGAAAAGAGTGGAAGGGCTGGCATGGAGGGGGAGCAGCCTCTGGGAATGCTGCCCTTCCCATCCCCACCTCCAAAGCAAACACTGCCCAGCTCCCCACACTGCTCCTGCAGCACCAGGGACCCCCTGAAACCACCAGGGACCCCCTGAACCCACCAGGGACCCCCTGTCCTGCCTGGCACCTTCATCAGGGAACCCTGGAATGAGACAGGCACGTCCCACTCTGCTCCTGCTCCAACTGGTTGTCCTGCTGGGAGAAGGAAGGAGATTGCAGCCCAGCAGCCCCATCCTGGCTGGGCACAGCTGCTCCCTGCCCAGGACATGCAGCCAGCCTGGTTTTTCCAGCCCAAGGGAAAGCCCAGAGCTCTGCTGGCTCAGTCTGGGGCCGTGCTGACACCCAGTGGAAGAAGCAGAACTGGAATCTTTTCCTTCTGCCAAAAAGAATGGGAAGTGAAAAGGAAGCTGGGCAGCAGGAGAACATTGGGGTCCTGCATTCAGATAGAAAAATGAACTCAGGGGAAAGGAAAACAGCGATTAAAGGGGGTTTTGGGTCCTTTCTCTTTTGATGGTGCTTTTGTACCATCCCTAGAAGAGCCCAAGGAGCAGCCTGGGACAGTGGGAGGTGTCCCTGCCATGGCAGGGCTGGCACTGGGTGGGCTTTGAGCTCCCTCTGAACCCAAACCATTCTGGAATTTCACAATCCTTGTTCCCCACACCACGAGAAGAGAGACAAATGGTGCAATATCCCACCAAAATCCCACAGATTCCTCACTCCTGCACTGGGCAGACTGAACACAACATCCACAGTGCAAACTTCCCAGGAAAAAAGGCAGCAGGGACCATCCAGGACCTCCCTGCTCCAGGGAACCAGCAGAAGGATTTTTCCACACTTACCCCAAACCAAGCTGTGAGTAAGCAACTGCCTGGGTCCTGGCAGGTGAGAAGGGTTGGATTTTAAATGGGACTGGATTTTAAATAGAATTGGATTTTTAAACAGGATTGGATTTTAAACAGGACTGGATTTTAATCAGGATTGGATTTTAAACAAGCCTGGATTTTTATACAGGACTGGATTTTTATATAGGACTGGATTTTTAAACACTACTGGTTTTTTAAACACTACTGGATTTTAATCAGGATTGGATTTTAACCAGGATTGGATTCTTAAACAAGACTGGATTTTAATCAGGACTGGATTTTAATCAGGACTGGATTTTTAAACAGGACTGGATTTTTAAACAGGACTGGATTTTAATCATGATTGGATTTTTAAACAAGACTGGACTTTAAACAGGACTGGATTTTTATCAGGATTGGATTTTAATCAGGACTGGATTTTTAAACAGGACAGGATTTTAAACCAGAACTGAATTTTAAATAGAACTGGATTTTAAACAGGACTGAGTTTTAAACAGGTCCCAGGTAAGATTTACAGTCGTGGCACAAATATTTTATATGTGCTAGAAAAAGTTTGGGTTTGGTGAAAGAAAGCAAGACCCTCCCTCAAGGATCACCCTCTGGAAAAGGAAAGCTGAAACATCTGGCAGCTGCAGGATTGCAGTGGTTTTGGGAGAAAATGGGAATTCTGTGGGATGTGCCACAGCTGAAGGGATTGGGGGAACTCAGATTTCAAACCCAATTTTCCAGCAGGAAAAGTCCAGCAAGGCCCAGCTCTGCTCCCAGAGGAGGGGCAGGAGCCAGGGCTGGATGAGAAATGGGAATTCTGGCCATGCAGATCCAGCTGGTTTGCACAGGTTAAACTGTCAGGGCAAACAGAAAATAAAATAAAATCCCCTAAAAGCACAGAACATCCATTTGTGATGTTTCCTCAACTCAGAGAATTTACACTTGAGAGCAGTGAGATATTCTGCACCAGAGATCTTTTTCTTTTTAATTATAACTAATGCTGCCAGTGCCTTAATTGGGGATTAAAATCCTTAATGATGTGAAATGAAAGGAAACTGAAAACTCCCAAGATCTTCAATCGGACTTGGGGCTCTGGGTGTTTAATTAAGGCTGTGTTCCTTCATAACCTCCACTTCATCATTTATTATGCTGATCAAACCTGGGCTGCAGCTCCCTTTGATTTTCAAAGTCAGCCTCCACTGTGGGATTCTGTCAAACCCAAGGAACATTTTGGGAGAGGAGCAGTGGAAAAACCTGCTTTTGTTTTTCCTCTTGCGTTTCTTCTGACTCCACTTTTTTATCTCTTCAGCACACAAAAAGTGACTTTTAGATCAAGGTTACTTTGAAAAACATCTGAGCAGTTTTCTTTTAAAGGCATCAGCCTGAAGTCACTGGAAAAAAAGCAATGAACTGCAGGGCAATTTCTCCACAGAAATTTCCTTTTCCTCCCCACAGGGCACTGCCCAGCTCATTCCCACTGGGAAAAAGGGGAAAACTCCAAAGAGTTTTGGGGTTTTTTTTTTTTTTTTTTTTTTCTGGATCAAAACCAGGCTGTAAAGCAGCAGAGGGCTGTGCTGAAAGCTCCAGCCTGGCCCCAGGTTCTGTGACCTTCAGCAGATTCTGTGTCTGGCACAGATAAAGCCGAGGACACTGACAGGAGATGCTCTGAGACAGCCCCAAGGGGCTCAGCTCCAAAAAACTGGGAAGGTGGGAAAGATTTCACCACCTCCTTGGCTGCAGGAATTTATCAAAGTGCCTTTTTTTTTTTTTAAGGATGGGGGGAATATAGAATAATTTGCTTTTTTTTTTGTTTTGTTTTTTGTTTTGACGGTCAAAAAAAAAATACACGTAGCACAGCAAATACAGAAATGATAAAGATTTGCAGGTTAATCAGGGGAATAAACAAGGAAAAGCAGGTTTTTCTGCCCCCCTAAATTCAACCCAAAAGCAGTCAGGCAGTTAAAAGAATGAGGTGAAAAGTGTCAGCAATCCTGCCAAGGACTTTATATTTGTTCTGTTCCAGAATAAGATTAAATCACCAGGGTTTGGGACCTGTCGTGCTGCTTTGTATTTTGCAAAGAAAAGAACCAGAGTGGACTGGAAACTCACCTACATAGGCAGACTTGCTCCCTGTCCAGCTTGCCTTGATTTTATCAGTGTAATGGTCCTGAAACAAGGATAAAATAAAAATTAGAAGGATTTCACAGTGCAAGAAAGCCCAAAGCTGGGGGTGGTTGGCATTTGTGGTTTAATGTTAATCGTAAAAATAATATTTTGAGATTGGAAAATCTACCTCAAACTTGGAGCAGCCTGGGATAGGGGAAGGTGTTCCTGCCCATGGCAGGGGGTGAGGCTGGATGGGATTTAAGGTTTTTCCAACCCAAACCATTGCAGGATTTACTTTGTCAGTCCCTGGAGATTTGGAGCTGTCAGCCTGCAGTGATGTGTTCTCACAGCTGGGTTTAAATCACTGCCTAAACAAATCTGAGAGTTCACATTCCCTTTGGAGGCCTCACACAGCCAGAAAGAAACCTGGAATTTTATCATTCCTCATATCCTGGAGCCCCTTTAGGCCCTGGAAGGGCTCTGAGCTCCCCCACTGGAGCTTTCTCCTGTCCAGGTGAGCACCCCCAGCTCTGTGAGGGTGATGAAAACCATCAGGTGATGGGAATTCTGGGAGAGCAGCAGTTCCCATTTACAAATAAAATCATCTTTCCTTTCATTCTGGCTGTGCTGCTGCCAAGGGCTGCACAAGCCCTGCAGCTCACACACAAATGTGCCAATAAATGTGTCAGCTTCTAATTCCCCATCATGCAGCAGGGACTGGCAATTCCTGTGTTCCCTTTTCCTGGAATCCCCAGTGTGGAACTGGGAACAGGGCACAGTCAGATCTGAGATTGTCACTGCCACCCTTTGGAATAAATCCAATTTCCAGTTGCCAAGGGCTGGTGGCACTGAGCCCTGGAGCTGCTCCATGCCCAGCCAAGGAGTGACCACAGACTTGAAAAAACCACAACCATCCCCTTTTCCTGGAATTCCCAGTGTGGAACTGGGATCAG